TACTATGCTAGGAAGTAACAGATAATTGAAGGACACAGAGATGAAAGCAAAGGACTCAGACACAGGACTTCGGGTTTTTCTATCAGCTTTGCACATCACGTGCTTCATATCAAGTCACTTACAATCTCCTGTTTCAAAAGGGCTTGTGTAACTTAGAGTGACCTGTGTCAATGAAAAATTGCATTAACTTTCCTGTGTCAGTGTGGAAATTCCCATCCCTTCATCTCCCTGTGTTTTTTTACTGCAGAAATAAAGGAAAAAATGTTAGTCATCATGAGACTTGGGGGGAGGAGGGGGGGAAGGAGGGGGGAGGCTAAATGTACACCATGAACTCATCAACTTAAAATTTACCTGTATCCATACTCCATTGAATGCCATCAGAATATAAGAAATAGGATTATAACCACATGACAACTTGGCATCTTTCAGTAAGTGAACTCACCCTTTAAATACATTTTCTCTGTTGTGAATCTATCCTGCTGAGAGAGAACACTTTCGGCAATGGATTGGATCTTGACTAAAACAACTTCAGGCTTTCTGAGATGCAGTGGCAGGAACCGCACTTTACACTGCGGACACATCAGGATAAAACATAACATTGCCAGTGTTAACTGCAGAGAAAGAGAAGAACTATAGTGGCATTTTATTGCTACTTTCATAACGGAAGCAATATATTGTTACCCCCACGGTGCTGGCAGGGCAAATAACTCGAAGGAGAGTGGGGTGAGTCACTGGCGGTCACAGGACAGGTCAGCAGTGGAGCTGTGATTAGATACCGGAATGAGGTCCCAGCTGTGCTGGCATTTCCCACAGGCTTCAGCTGGGAAGAGAGTTTCAAATGGAGCCTTGAAACTTGTATTTCAGTGTAGACAGCGATTTCATTTTATATTATTACTGTTTATTTACTAGGTAAGGGATCGGTATGCTTTTAACCGAGTCTAGACCCAACAGCTAGCTGGGACTAAAATAAAGAGAGATGCAAGGCACATCCTCTCCATCGGTCCTGGTTCAGCATTTCTACCACCATTTCTACCAGCAGCCACAAAGACCGACATTTCCCATTCCATTTATCCACTTCGAGGCCACCCCATAGCACACGTGGCACCCTGTGATAATCCCCCCAGCCACCCGACAGGTGACTTCTGCAGACCGTTCAGATATGACCTGAGCTCTAGACCATCCAACATGTCGGCATTTAGGAGTGAAAGCCTGATGTTTAGCAAGGAAAAACCAGAATTATTTTCAAATTCTTTTTCACCTGCCCCGTGCTGTCTAGTGCTAGCGCTGCCTTTTACTCCTCTACACAACTTCACGGGGCCAATACTGCAGCCACCTCCCATTTAAATCAATGGATCTAAATATATTTGTGGATGATATTCTCATAAATAAGCAGTGCTGTGACATCCAGATTTGTTCGGTATGAGGAACAGCCCAACAGAAGACGGCTCACGTTTTTTCATGCCTGTGCAGAGCACAGAAGCACTTCAAAGGCTTCCTTGCTTCAAGGCTGGCCGAGATAGTGGTGTTACCAGCTTTAAATAACAAGAAGCACGTATCCTTGGCTGCACATCTGATGTGTATAAATTCTACTCCATGTAGTAGCTGCATTTTGAAATGGAATGAGACGAGCTGATGCATACTATTAGAGCAAGACCAAGAACACTCCTCCGGCTTAACCGTACCATGAGTGCCTGCCAACATGCCACAATATTAATACTCAGAAGTTTCTCTGTCACATGTTTCATACACTTAGATTGGGCCCACGCTTCTTCCCACTTGATCACTAAAATATAACAAGTACCATGCAGTTAGCAGTTACTGCGAGTTAGCCAGGCTTAGACAACAAAGTTCAGGGAATTCCAAGGGGATTTAGATGCTGACACCCAAGGAAATTAAGTGACGTTAAGACTTGAGGTATATTTTTTTCTTACGACAAATAGGAGACCAAGTTCTATTTGCACGTTGCAAGGACGGAGACTTAATCCACCGTTACCATTTAGATGAGTATAAAACTATGAATGCCACATACCCTGTGGAATTTACTTGCTCATGGCAATACCGCTGCACAGGCAGCATCCACAGGGATGTCCACTGCAGTGCAGTGTTTGGAGGGATGAAGAAGGCAAGGAGACACCAGGCATGGGCACGGACTCGTCTGGGTACCTCACCCCATGGTTAAGCCAGCCAGCGCAGACATTGCCGCATACACTGCCGTTCGTATGCTGGTATCCTCATGGGAACGTTTTCACTGTGACTGCTTTCTCCTGCAGCTTCCCATCAGGTGATGCCAAAAAAACATGGAAAATGTGTATGCATGCCCAGTCATGTTACTATATTTAGCCTCAGGAGCAATGGTTCTTTGAAGAGCTCTGACCACGGCCCGTCACGGCACACGGCTCACTATCACGCATTATCAGGCTTTTTCAGTGATTATTTTTTTTCCTTCAGCTAATTACATAATTGGAGTTGCTTTCCAGCAAGTATCCCGCCGCCACAGACTGAGAGGCTTGGTGTGCCATTGAGGGGAACTAAAACAGCAGAAGTAGCTTAACAGAGATGGGAGGTACAAACTGCTCTCCCCCCAGGCAGCTATCGGTGCTGCTCCAGCTGGGAAGGGATTCGACTGGAAACTTGATTTGGAAGCATGGACATCTCATTTTAATTTTTGAGAAAGTGTCACAAAATTGATTTTTATCTCCCGTCGCTCTTCCTTCTCTTAAAATGTTTGAAGCATTACTTCAATTAGTTTTATAAGAGAAAAAAATGGCACTGATACAAAAGTACTTTCAAGACAGGAGAAAATACAGAATGAGACTATAAGATTTTACCTATGTGAAGAGTTTCTCTTCCTTTATCTCCCATTTAAGAGAAATGGAAAGAAGGTGTTGGCGGTGCTATTCAGTGAAGCCTTCACCGAGTAGGAAGGGACCAAATTCACAGTCAGTTCCTCGCGTGCAGTTATTTTCTTTTCTTATTTCAGTGACAGCAGATTTTTGCTTCTTACTCGTTACATTACAGGTAAACAGAGTTCGAGGCAAGCTGAGTTTTCTTTTCCTTCTTGCATCATTACTGTCATTTAACTGTTGGAGCAGGTCGGCTCGTGAACAGCCTCCCAAGAGAACTGACAGGGTCTGAAAGAGATCAGCGGTGCCGCTGCTGTACGACAGCAGAGGAGCAGGCTGGCTGAGCTGGGGAGGGTTGTTCAGCTGAGCATCAATCAGCCTTACAAAGAGAAGGAGAAACTGCATGAGGATAACAGGATACCGCAGGCAACAGTCCCCCCAGTGAATATGCAATTATACAGGGTTTAAGGATATGCTAATAACCGCAGCACTAAAGTGGAGGTGTTTGGATGTGCTGGTAGCTGCATTGCTATCAAACACCGACTGTTAAAACGTGGCCACGTTGCTATGTCCTCAGTGCTATTGCTTCGGCACACACTCCTATGCCATCTCCCTTCTGCTGGACAGATGTGTCTTTTGTACCATCGCATGGTTTGTAGTGTTAGTAGCCAGAAAGAGTTCCCGTCACCTTTGCGTTAAGCTTGCAGAGCTGGCACATAGGGAATTGTTCATTTCATTCTTGAAGTTCAGAAGACACAGTACAGAAGTCACTAAAATGATGATAATCACGGGGCATTGGTGTCCCATGTACAGACATAGTAAAAAGCTAATCTGAAACACAAGCCGTCTAAAGCACGAACTGTTAGATGACTGCCATGATAAATTCCATTCTCTCTCTCACTTGACTTCAGAAGAAAATTCTCAGGCAGCAGGCCTGATTCAGCATTCAAAATCCTCTTCTTAGTTAAGAATACCTCACGGCGGATTTAATCAAATACAAATAGCACAAGCAGGCTTCAAAAGAACTATAATAAGAAGGTGACTGGTTTTCCAAGAAGGAGAAGGAAGGTCTGCGCCAGGAGCTTGGAACAACCCGATAATACGATGTGCAGATGACAAGATGACGTCCCAGTCTTTCCAGAAACAATGACTCAAACAAGAAAACAGAAGGGCAAACCGTAGGTTGGGGTTGTTTCAGATGGGTGATAGCCCAGTCATTGGGAAGGGCACTTACCGAGCCGCCATCAGGTGACCCAAACTGGGCTCCTGGCTCCGATGCTGCCCTCCTGTGTGACCTTGGGCTACTCACTTCAGCAGTAACTGGAATAGTAAGAACTGGAACAGTAAGCACTATGCGCTTTTTTTTTTTTCCCCTTTCTCAGGCATTTAGATTTTTAAAACAATCTACAAAGGAAACCAGGCTTTAAGTGTCTTATGAACCTCCCTGTTATTACTTTATAATGGCTGTGCAGCACCGGGATCTTGCACCTGTTTTATCAAGAATTCAGAAAAGCAAAACCCAACTTGTTTCTATTAAAGCATCCTCTAAAATAACATTGTACATTTGTTAAACTTCAAGGTGGAAGTACCCAGGTGTGAATTGTAGGAAATGATACACTGACACAGAAAATCGCCTTTATACATGTCACCGAGGATGCTCATGTGGCACTGGATGAACTAGTGCTTGCTTTGGAAAGGTATAAATAGTATTATATGCTGCCTCTTAACAGAGAGTCTAGGTAGAATACTGTTCTGTAGCAAATTTAATGCCAAATACTGTCCACACTTGTGCTTGAACTCCAGTAATGCTTCAAAGTGTTTGTAAGCCTCCATTAAAATTTGCCTCCTAAAACCAGATCAACACACATATAGGAAAAACAGAGGGGAAAAGGCTACGCCAGCATACAGGGCTACAGAAGCCAGGTGGACTCTCAGCTAGAGAGAACTTACAAGTGCTGCAGTGTAATTCATACAAGGAGATACTGGCTTGGGGCCACCCTGCAATAGCAGTTGACCCAGAGGGGAGGGAGGAAAAGTAAAAAAAAAAAATAATAAAATAAAAAATTAAAATCAAGCTGTTCTGTTTAAAATAATTCACTCTTGCTGTTGTATTTCTTTATGTAATTTGATTTTCTAGGCTGCCCTTCAGATATAAGGATGCCGAACTGGGGAGGTGGAGCCAAATGTGGCGCCTGTGAAAAGACAGTGTACCATGCCGAGGAAATCCAGTGCAACGGAAGGAGCTTTCACAAGACGTGCTTCCTCTGCAGTAAGCTGGGCTACACTGTTTTAACTTCACAGTATTCCCATAGCTCTGTATCAATCTTCCATTAGAAGCTAGTAAATTTACTTTTGTATTACTTTGCATGGGATAAAGGAGCTTCATAGTTTGCCCAGTTCAACAAGTTTGCTCACAGGACCCTACAGCAGGCTTTTAAATACCCTAAGCAACTGTACAGGACAGTAGAAGCAAGCAGCATCAGACTGAATTTCACACAGGGAAGGTTTTGTTAAGCCTGTGCATCTTACTAGTGGGAAAGTTCGAAGCAGAGGGCAGTCACAAGTTAATCATCCTACCCAAAGTACAGCATAGCGAGACTGATTCTGCTCCAGCACCCTCTGGAAACCCCAAGCTGAAACCTGTTTCCCATCCTTTCAGCAACGGAAGGACGGAAAATGACCGTATTTGTTTCACAGCAGGAGCCACTTTTCTGAAATGCCAGTTTGCCACTCCATAGCAGCTCTTTAATAATCAAGCCCAGTTTTCTGGCCCTTCACCCCAAGCCTTCTGCCTCTCAGGCTCCTGGCTTTTCTTTTTCCAAACACGCATTGGAAGATTATTGCTAGGGCCACTGGAGCACTGGCAGAATCACGGTGTCTAGGTCCATCTCCAAGAAACCCTACCTTTTGTCCCACAACACAGCATATTGCAGGTTTGTTTCAAGTTTAGAAGAACTAAACAATCAGCACTCATAAGGCACAACTATGTCTTATTAGGATATTATACATGATTACTTTTACGGTGAACCCTAACATTAATTCATTTCACACAGGAAAGCGGAAAGACATTACCCCAGTGCCACCAAAATCTCCCACCAACACCCTGCAAGGGCATCAGTCTCGTCCTTCCCCACGTTTCAGAGTCCCAGTTCACTTACTCTTTTAATTCACACACCTCTAACATTTGGCAGATAGCTTCCAGGAATTTTGCTTTCTCTGTAGATGAGCTAGTGCTTGAAAAAAATCAGCGAGAAGGTGTCAATTCAGCTCCATTTGCCCTTTGTGGAGAGAGTAAACAGTTTGATAAGAAGTAAAGATAGCTAAATATTTGATTTTGCAGACAATGCTTGAGGTTTAGTACCTTTGCAGTATGAATTCCAGCATGACAGCTTAGAAGCCATTGAATCCAATTTTTCACCCTCTTTTCCTGGATGAAGAATTCTCATTTGGAGGCATGAGATTGATATTACATGCTTGAATGATGTGGTACAGCGCTAGGCAGAGTCAGTCTAAAGGACACACTTGAGTCGTCTTTGCCTTTCTCCACGTGCCCTGCAAGTGATGCCTAAAAGACTAAGGAAGAATTCCCTCAAAAAGTTTTCAGTTACTTGACAACCTTCAGCCAATTCTTACATAATGGTAAAAATCTCAGTTTTGTGAAACCTAGAGAAGACTTATTGCTTCCACGTGCTGCCTGTAACGATTAACACTAGATACCCGAGAAACTACAGGGCAGGGGACATGAACGTGGTAATGACGAGAGAAGCTTCAACTGATGCTTGCGCTTTACCAAATGCTAGAAAATGCTACGGCAGAAGACAAACTAGTAGACTCTCCAGTGTCTAAAGAAAATAACCAGCTGTCCCAATAGGGCATAGTTAACGTTTCTCTCCCATCTAATATTTGTTCCCAAGTTTAAGCTTCATTTGAAGCATAACTGATATTTGTGGGTTGGTTTTTTTTTTTGGTTTTTGTTTTTTACTAATTCATGATAAACAACATACATCTGCTAGCTCTGCCAACTGTTTGGTTGGTTTGTTGTGGTTTTTTGGTTGGTTGGGGTTTTTTGGGGGGGTTTGGCGTTTTTTTTATTATTTGCCACTTGTAGTCACAAGTCTGAACTAAACTATTAATAGCTTAGATACTAAAAAAAGTATTCCCAGCAGAAGCATGTTTAAGTTTAAGGTATGACACTAAAGATGCATCTAAGCCCAGTTGGCATACGAGAGGTAGGTTAATTGGCTTTGCTTTCCCCATGATTCACACACACTAATCAGCAGCTCTGGACAACTCAGTATCATGTATCATGTTCATGGGCTTTTCAATGAACCAATTATAGGATTTCATTTCTCTACAGAAGAAAAGCAATCCTCCCTGACCTAGTCTCAGGTACAGAAACAGTTAACCTATTTAGCTAAGCTTTTATATATTTTTATATTAAATATATATCACAAATATTTTGTATTTTACATTATATTTGACCAGACACACAAACCACATCAGTCTTTTTCAACCAAAAAATTCACTTTGGGCGAAATTATAAACAGTTCAAACCAACCTGTTAACATGGTAAGAATCAGACAAGCTAGACTATAAATCACACTCTCTCTACTCCAGAATTTTTGGGTTTGGGGGGCTTGGGGTTTTTTTGTGATTTTTTTTGTTTGTTTGTTGTTGGGTTGTTTTTTTTTTTTTAAACAACCAGTATGAGAGAGAAACTGCTTTCCAACAACCCCTCCTTCCCACGCAGATTGCTATTTACCTACCTTGTTTCCCCGTCAGTCTTTTACTTAAAGCACAGCTGTGACAGACATTTGGCAGGATCTCACGCCATCAACCTGAAACTTCTCCGTGCCTGCTCGTGAACGGTATCTACTGGCAGATGACAGGTCTCAAAGTTATTTCAACAATAGCACTTCAAGGGCTTTTGCTCCATCTGTTGTGGTGAATTGATACTCTATCCCTAAGGTGCCAGGAATAGAAACACTTTATCTTCTGCTAGAGTTTCCATCGTCCCTTAACTCCCTTTGCAAATGTAATTATCATCCCAAAGCAGAAGAGACTGCAGCATGACGAGATCAGGTTCACACATTTACAGAAGCCCCTCGTTTTATTTCTATTAACTGTAAAGGTTAATAGACATCAAATTTTCCCCTCTGCGCAGTACAGTGACAGGATTAAAGCTGCACAGGTTCCAGTATCGGCTTAAATTCTCTGGCGTGGATGCATTTTAGACTCACAGCAGGACAGTTAAAATAAACACGGAGGGAAGAGGGGCTAATCAAGCCCTCAGCTAACTCTTCCTAACTCTTCTAGAGCTTGAACTTCCAACCGCTTGCAATACTTATGTATTTCACAGGTTTCTGTTGCTTACATGAGCTAAGCAACTTTATTTTCCAAGCCACCAACAGCCTCCACGCGACTGGAATGCCCTCTGTGGGCTGTGCACTTGTTTCAAGGGAAATTGCAGAAAAAGTTTTTCCCTATATTCCCCTCCCCCCCCTTAGCCACTGTTGACCCAGTGAACGATTTGTAAGAAGGGTTGAATTTTTAGTTTTTAAGCATACTACAAAAGCTTGTTGTTTTTCCTATAGGCGCTCTGAACTGAAAGCTTCATCCTCTCTGGATGGGGTGAGGGCTGCCTCATGCTGAGCTCCCCAAACAGCGCTGCACAGGCAGTCACCCAGCAGAAAAAGTGTAGCTCCTAGGGTTTTTTCCATGTATTATTATCCAGTTTCCATGCATAAGCAGCAAGGAGATCCACTGGACCAGTAACAAAATTTAGTCTCGAAATCTTGACTCTAAATGCAGACTGGGTTTCAGATTAGCAAAGAACTGGGGAGAGTTCCATCTAGCTTCCATGGCCACTCCAGGAGAATGACGACTCACGCGTGAGACCGGCCTCGGCAGCGCTCCTTAGCTCTAGGTGGGGCTTGTGTTTCTCAAAACATGGATACTTGCTTACTGAGGTCCCCAAATAAGCAGCTGTTAGCACTCAATAAGCTGTGGTCCTTCCAAGCTGAGGTTTGTTTTAAAGCAGTGCCGTAGAGGATATAACTTGCTTTCCATTAGGAATATCGGGCATTCCCACAGCACCTTCTGTCCGAAAGTCTCCCAGACCTTTCCCAATGAGCTAATCCAAGCAGTATTTCTTGGTAATGAACCTGACTAGGAAGAGGCCTCTGGTTTTGGAACGGCTATAGTCATACTCTTACCATCCTGGGGGATGTCTAACAGAGCTGGGACTACCAGTTGTTTGGGATCATGGCTTCGCCTTGCACTACAGCTCAAACGAACGTGACTAGATGAATAAAAAAATATGTTCTGCTTGACTCTGGACATGGTATGTACGTTATAGCCTCTTCTAGAAACTTGACACGTTAAAATAGCATGGGCTGAGATGAGAAAGCCAGCACAGTCTCAGAGTGACTCTTCTGAAAGGTGCAGGTGCACAGTAGAATCAATACCCCTGCAACCTCCTTTTTTTTTTTTTCTTGCTTCTTTTTTTAAGATTTGGTATGATGATCTCATCTTAAGCTTCACAAATCTAGACAAATTGTCTTGACAAGCTCATGATTTTCCTAGGGTTAGAGTACATAAAGTGGCAAAAGAGCACATTGTGGGCACGCACAACCACTTCAGCAACAGCCCAGTGAAGCTTTATACTGACTACAGGCTGACACCCTCCTTCTCCTGCATTTTTAAAGATAAACAAAAAAAGACACTGATTGTAATTATCCCGAACCACGTACTTTCCAATTTGAAAATGACAATGTTTATACGTGCTCCTCTCTTCCCATTTTCAGTGGCTTGCAGAAAAGCTCTGGACAGTACCACAGTAGCAGCTCACGAATCTGAAATCTACTGCAAAACTTGTTATGGGAGAAAGTATGGGCCCAAGGGTATTGGCTTCGGACAAGGGGCAGGATGTCTCAGCACCGACACTGGTGACCATCTAGGCTTGAATCTGCAACAGTGAGTTAAATCCCACCGACAGCACCTTTTCCCGGTACTACTTGTCACTTAGCGGGGTATTTTAGATCTTTTACTCTGTTTCCGTGACATCGTCTAGCACAAGTAGCAGAGCAGACTTTCCTACAGCCTTTCCTTCAGCAGACACAGTAATTTACCGGTTTTTAATGACGTTTAGTCTCTTTAAGCCTTCTTTATAAACTATCTCCTCCTTCAATTCTGCAGAAGCAGCCTTTATATGCCACCACGTATGTAAATATCCACTTGTAATTTGCCATTAGTAGCACAGGGGTAAAGTCACATTCGCCATAGAACACAAGAATATTTTTTTCCCCCCTATCAGAGGCTAAAATACAGTTAGGTTTTACTGTTAGAGAAATAACCACACTACCACATACTGTTAACTCTCCTCTCAATGGGGGAAATAATCTTTCTAAATCCTCCCTGTGGCTTGAAGAACACTCACAAACACACCGAGAATGTTTGAGCAAAGGAATTCTAATGGGATACCATCTCCAAAAGCCTCAGCTGCATATAATTATCTCTGACATTACAGGGGTTTTTTATAGTATTTTTCTACGATTCTCAAAGCTGCCCATTTCTAAATCAATGACGCTTTCTCCTGGTATTACTATAAAGAAACCAATTAACTAATATGCTGTGCAGGAGATAAAAGCTTAAATAATGTATTTAACTGTAGCTCCTTGCAAGGTATGAATCCATTGCGGGCAGAGCTCTGTATCAGAAACTGTCACTGTCGAGTAGATTTAATGACCTGTTGCAGCCCAACAACCTCATAATTAAAAAGTTGTTCCATCAAAGGCACAAATACATAAGGCACAAAGTCCAGAAACACAGAGCAAAGCTACTATTCTGATGTACTTCTGACCCAAGGCCAGCCAAGAACCTTAGATCCCTGTCCAAACGTTACAGTGACTAATGGAACAACTGCATGCAAAATTCAAGGTTTTTTTCCACCGAGTACTAGTGGATAGCCAGTTACAAATAATAAGAGAGGTCTTTTGCTTGCATTTTCCCTCGTTCCTCTCAATAAAACAAAATTCTTTTTTTACTTTCACTTTTCATTAAACCTTTCTGCACATGGCTACTGTCAGCTCCACATACTCAGCCCAAAGCAGGTAACGCCAGTGGTAACAGCATCAACTTTTCAACCACACAACACAGAATTCAACAGAAACCATTAATTTTCTCTCCCCCCACCCCCTTTTCCCATGTCAAAGATCAGTAACTTAGTAATTTTTATCCCTTACAAAAAACCCCATGAAATCGTATCTCTAGAATGAAGATAACATTTTAAGCAGTATTTTAAAACACCAAAATCTTCTGTTTTAGGGGGTCACCAAAGTCTGCTCGTCCTTCGACACCAACTAATCCTTCAAAGTTTGCCAAAAAGATGGTAGATGTGGATAAATGTCCCCGTTGTGGCAAATCAGTTTATGCTGCAGAGAAGATCATGGGAGGAGGAAAAGTAAGTAGTTACTATAGCACTAGAAGCAAAACACGTGCTTACCATGGTGATAAATGATAGCTAGTAGATCCTTGATCTTTCAAGCTTTTACTCATAGTCTCGATGAAGAAAACATCAGGATGAATTAGCAAATTGCTAGAGTCCGATGTACTGACTTTCAGCTTTAAATCCATGTGCTTTCTTGTAAGTCTTATTCAACTTTTCCCATCTTGTTGATCTCTGAGGAACAACTCCTGGCTACAGCACAGGCTGGCTCTTCTACCACTGTCATTCTATTAACACCTCTGGGGACAGTTATAATTTAAACATTTATTTGTAGTGGCAATTGCAGATAAATTGAAGAGATTCTGTAACTAGAAAAACAAAAGCCTGCCTCACATGACATGCTAGCTCTCTGCTTTAGGAACTCTCACTTGAGTATCATCTCTGCAGGTCAGGGAAATGGCCAAAACAAGAGTAGCATCCATAGCACTCTGCCTTTTCCTAGACCTCCGTTAATAACAAAGTCACTAGGTAAGTAATTGGAAAAAAGTCTAACCTGGAATGACTAGAAATGGAAGCCAGAAGACCATCAAGACAATTTTAACCAGAAAAAGCAACAATCTTTTGCTTCTTATGTCTGCTAGGCATGCACTTTCTGTAATATACAATTAATTGTCTTAATTTCCTCAGCCTTGGCATAAGACGTGCTTCCGCTGTGCTATTTGTGGGAAGAGTTTAGAATCTACAAATGTTACAGACAAAGACGGAGAGCTCTACTGTAAAGGTAAGAATTGTAACGAGCTGAATGGGGTTATTGGGTCAATTTAAAATTATACTTTTTAGACCTAGTATTGCCATCATGATTTACCTTGTTGCATGCTTAACAACTTCATGAAATTTCATTTTATCTTTTTTAACAACTTTCTGAAAGCAAAGGGAAGAGCTACATTGCAGTTGCATCTTCTGCTATTAACATTTCACTTTTAAAGTTGTAATTTTTCTACAAATACGACGTCCTTTCAGATCTGTCCTCAGACCTTCTAACAGGAACACTGGCCATATCTGCTGGGTAGATTCTTGTACCTGTACAATCTCTCTCACTCAGAAAAACCCAATCCAACCAAAAAAACCACCAAACCACAAAGGTAGAGATCTTCAAAGGTCATCTGCCTAAGGTCATGGTTGTAATTGGACTTCTTCCCAGTAAAGGATACTTCCACTATATTGCTTGTACAGAAGATACCCCATTCATGCCAAATTATACACCCAGATGTTCTCAGATCAAGAAAGTTCACAGGATTTCACTTGACTCTTAGAAAGAGCTTAAAGTGAAAAAATATGCTAAGCTTTTATATTCTAGGCTAAATTTTACAGAGAATCCTAAAGAAGAATACTTAAGTTCTGTGACTTTGGGTGCAGTCTGACAATTGCAAGTGATCAAATTAGCATATTTTGAGAACTACGCTGACCATTACTACTTCCTTAGCAGAGCTGTGATAAATAACCATGCACACATTTAGCAATACAGAGTTAAAATGGAGTGGTTTAAACTACCATCAATACTTTCTGGACTAAGCTCTAGTTCTTTTAACCTCCTTTGAAAATCTCCAACTTATTACTCAATCTGCATTACTCATACAGACCAAGTTTTTCTGAGTATTTTCAGACAGGAAAGCAGTTTTAACGAAAATGTTAACTTAGATCCTAAATACATATGGCTTCTTAAGTTTTGGAGAAGATCAGATGTGACTTCTGTTTAATCCAAATAGGTGATTCCAGTTTCACTATTAGAACCTGATGACACCTCTGAGAAAGACGCTCTTTCAGGTTTCCTTCCTTTTATTAAGTCTGGAAGTAGTTCTAAAACCAAAAATCATTAAACTCTATATGAAAACATTCAGAATACCATTTACTTCCCTCCTTCTTTTGCAGTTTGCTATGCAAAAAATTTTGGTCCCAAAGGAATTGGGTT